CCCCAGCACACGCTCCATGGTGGAACTGGAAGTGGACTAGAATTGCTTCTGGTCCACTTTTGGGTCTGCTGCCGAACATGCTGGGGACCCCCGTGCACTCCTATGGGACACTCCATCCACCCCAGCATCTCAGCATTCATGAGCCACCTGGTACCTTGAGGTATATAGAAAAAACATTTAAAGCTGTGTCTATGTCCAAATCATTGAATCTCTCCAAATCAATTTGGAGGGTTCCATTTCTATTCGGACGGATTAAAGGATCTTAGAGATTTGGCCGCCAAATTGGGCTGAATCTGCCAAATCAAATCAGCAACCAAAGCTTTGCAAAGCCCTAATATCTAGACAAAGGAAGAGGATGCTACTCTTGAAAGAGAGATGTGAGGAACAGAAGTAATGCAAATATTCAGACTGTGAGGAGGAGGAAAATGGGAACAGGCATTGGCAAAAATAGTGAAAGGGTTTGAAGGAAAGGGATGGACTGAGAAACTAAATAGGACTGCAAGGGCTGAAACAGGAAGGAAAAAGATGGAAGGAAATGAGAAGCAGGGACAGAATGATAGAAGTTCCTTCAGACATTCTGCAGCCCACTAAGACAGAGGTGGGTAACTATACGTAACTGGTTTATGTGTAGCTTCTGTCCCTAGCCCAAAACTCACTGGATTTCACCCTACTCCTTCCATCTGCTTCCTGGTCACACTTTGGGGAATTCATGCTGGTAAGAAGTGGCATACCTTTTGGTACTCAATATTTGGCAGCTGCAACTGGAGTGGTAAAGAAATAGATGTTTCTTTTGCTGAATTGAGCCACACCACTAAACCTGTTTCTGTATTTTTGCTCATCACTTTATTCCCTGTGCTGTTTAATACAGGTTGAGTGCCATGTAATTGGAAGCTTCCAATTTTCATAGGATATAAAAGTAGGCTAAGTGATGATGCTCCTTATTGCAGGCTGAGGAGCCAGTGTTGCTTAATCCTGGAATAAAGTGGTAAAATAGCATTTAATTCGCACAGTGTCCCAGGTGCCATTGAGTTACTTTGTGCTATTCCGTTTTTCAGTTGACTGACAGCATGGTCCCTAAAGGCAACAATAAAGGATTCTTAGTTGTTCTTACAGGGAAAAAACAGTAACCACACTGTTAGATGCTCTATGCTATGCCTAATGACTGGGGAGACAGCGGGTCAGTGCATGCATTGCTTCTTCCAACAGCTTTGTTCAAAATGGAGGCAGCTTTGGGTAAGCTCCAACAAACCGGGGAGCAGCCACTAACATTAGTTCTTTCCATATTTATACACCTTGGTTTATGTTTATTAGCATTTACCCCACTTTTGTCCTTCCTTTGTTCCACCCTTATTCCTTCCCATCTTAAGCTCCGCCTCTGTTTACTGTTTATTTCATTAGCATGGAATTACCTATGCATTTCACTTATTTACGTGTCTTTTTGCTATGAGCATATGCCTAAGACCCTGACCCCTGCTTCTCTCGGTCACTTGCGGTCTCTTGCTGATTTCTTCACCATCTCCAAGGTCTTACTTCTGCTTTATCTCCTAACGATAGTCGGTGGTCTGCATCCTGTTTTTCTTACACAATGACCTATATATCTTATAACAATACTATATTGTATTGTTAGGAAAATGCTTGCCTAAGTGTCCTGCAATGTTACTTTTAACATACCATTCTACCTTGTGGTTAGCAGCTTGCTAGGCCACAGGTTATATCCTTTTATTCAGCTGCAAATCCAATGCTCCCCAAGATCCAAATACTGTCACCCTAACACACACATTTCTGAAGATATGAAATTCCATCTTAGGTTTTATGGTTTAAAATTTGGATTTTAATAAACAAGAAGGTTGAAAGATTGTTGCAACATTTGACCCAATAAAACTAAAGTATACACAAATGTGCTCTGGTTGCTGGCAGGGGTTGGGGGGGGGGTGTCCTTTGATGTTTCAAATAAACAGCCTTATGGGAAGAGCTATGTTTCTGATACTGGGGAGCAGCTTGGGGGCAGGGATAGTAGGGAGAAGATTATGGGGGAAAGAGGGAAAGAAAAAATAAAAAATGTAGTAGGTGTGTGAAGAGAGAGAAGGGA